AAGGATTTGAACAAGATGGCATCTAAAGATATTTAAACAAGGCTTTACTCCAAAAAATATACCTGAATAAGGCATAACTCAAATACAAGCAGAGAGGATTGAGAAACCAGAAAGGAATAAGTCACTGAATAAAGTATGGGAATGAAGACGACCAGTAGTAGAAAGCAATTACACCACACAAGCATTTTTTAGCTGCAAAACTATGAAAAATAATTATAATATATCGACAGCAGGACGACTTCATATATCAGATCTGAGATAAATTTACATGTTTATATATGTTTTTGTTAATAAATTCAACGAGGGTAAATGAGCAACTCAATACAAACTATTCACCTCCTGAGTCAATTGACCAAGTCCACATTTAATGTCTTCCCACATTGAGATACATTATACTTAAGTTGTTTTACTTCTCCTTTCTTACATGATAAATGAGAACATAAGCTCCAGGTCAATTCCCCTTTTTTCCTCCCACTTGTTGTACTGACGTATTTTTTAGTTATACAACAACATACCCATAGTAATCCCACAATGATGTATTATTTACTATTTTATATAACATCGTGTGGCCATGCATCTCTTGCCTTCATCCTATATTCGCATCGCAACTAAGGAAAACAGATAATGTGTCTACAATGACTAGTAAGTCTTCTAAAAAAAAGTGACTAGTAAGTCTTCATGAACATATCAACAGAAAAGTGAACCACCCTTCTCACACCCCAAGCAAAATTAAAGATCAGAAACCCTATCACAAATATGTCAATACAGATATATGAGCATCATTGGAAAAAGGAGAATTTCACATCAGCAACAAAGAATCAGATTGACATAGACATACCCATAGTAACGGTCTTTGATATTTTGCTGTGACAACTCCCCTGTTTCAGGCATCTCATGCCGGTAAGGACACTCCAAACCTCTTGTACATTGACCACGTATGAAGAAACTGCAAACATGTGCCCGATTTCTCTTGTAGTATGGAGTTGTTCTTTGAAGCTTCAAGATAGTATCATTTGCACGGACTTTCCCATATGAAGATTCATAATCAATACCAGCTCTTGCCTGGTCAAAAAATTAAGTATTACTTTGGGGAAAACCACGAAAACAGAAAAAACAGCATCTTTTTTTTTTGGAGGTGCTTCTTAAAAGTTCTAAACCCTTAGGGGTCGTTTGGTGTGAGGGATAATACCAAATAGTCCCGGGATTAAATTATAGTACCGCTTATTTTGTTGTTTGGTTGGCAAGTTCGGGATAACTTATCCCGGGATTAATAATTAGTACCGGGATAAGTTATCCCTCTCTTTGGGTGGTATAGTAATCCCGGGATAAAATAGGTAAATGACAAAAATGTCTCTTTCAACCCTTTTGTTATATCACTTTTTACATTAATGAAGGGCATTTTTGTAAACAAATAAATTGTTCTTAAAATTTATTATTTTGAATACAACAAACCAAACACTCAATAAAAAATAATCCCAACACAACTTATCCCATCATAACTAATCCCAACATAACTTATCCCAACATAACTTATCCCATCATAACTCATTTTCAAACCAAACGACCCCTTAGTTTCACCAGGTTTAATTTCCTTCTCCTAATTTAAAACTGCACCTCATCCCTGAGTAGTTCCCAGCAAAATTTGGATGCGGGGGGGAGGGGGTACCTAGAAAGCCTCGAAATTGCCAAAATGTCAGCTTATAGGATAGTTTCAGCTCATAATTTGGCAACTCATCAATTAAGTTGTAGCTTTGCAGTATGCCCTCTTTAAGAAAGTAAATTAAGTTTAGAAAAAAAAAGAAGAAGAGGGGCCTAAAGCTTCAGAGAAATATTTTGTTGTCCTTATTTATATATAAGTACATTAAATGGTCCTACAAGCAATTAGTTAAAAAAACATTTCATTCATAACTATAAGTTGGGCTTCCAGTTAGTAAATCACATACCCTGCGGTCATGCTCCTCTGCAAAATATTCTCTATTTACGTCACTTTTTGGGATGGCATCATTTGAGTTGATACTGAGAGCAGTGTCTCGGACTTGAACGGGCAAACCATATTCAAGATCTAACAGGCAAACTTGACAAACATTCTTCAATTTGCTGCAGGTCTGACAGATCTCAGACTTTTTGTATCTCGCATCCCGACCAGGCCTCCACCTGAACACTGTGAAGGGTCGCGTGCAGATCTTGCACTCCTTGTCATAATCTGCTTTTGTCTGTACAAAAACCATAACAAGATCAAATGTCAGATAGTGAAATTGGAGAAAGAAAGATTATAGTAGAGGACATGAAGCTGAAACCTAAACAAAGTCAGAGACCAGACCGATTCTACTGCCAAAATGGAGATACTCTTTGAGCAAGAAATTACTTCCTAAAACTGTATGAAGAGAGTAAACATCGTAACAATGTGCCAAAAGTAGTGGCAGATCAGGAGAAGCTGTCGATGGATAAAGGTCCAAACAAAGAGCTTCAGAAAGCCACAATGATTATAATGCAAGTGGTCTCGCCTAGCTACACGTAAATGGAATTTAAAATACAGTTTACTGCAGCTAGCACAAAGATAAGCAATTAAATAAATGCTACCAGAGATTAACAGTCCTTACAGAAAGGCTAACAGCCTTTCCTGTAGAGCAAATCTGACACATAACTTACTTAGAATTTGATAAAACACTATGTTGCTGCATTCATAAAAGGATCCAACCACATTCTTCACACACTTTACATTCTTAAGGAACGCTACATTAGGAATTGGACTCTGATCTTTCAAGGTTGAGAAACGACAGACTTCACCCTTTTAAACTTCAATAAAGGCACCCTTCTTTATTTGATTTTGCACAATAGAACACATATATTTCTACAATTACTAATCATTCCTACTGTATTAATAAATTAGGGTACTTGAAATAAATGATGAATTCTTAAAAATTTACCTAAAAAATTCTGAAAATGAACTTCTAGTTGTATTCAAAGTAACCTTACTATATTCACCTAAAACCATATCAATCAACCAATCATTCAACTTTGCCTTATTCACATACTTTACAGTTGCCTCTATGAATCCTCAATATCCATCTGCTCTAGCCTCTTTGCACCTATATTCACCTAAAACTACGACTAGAGATTTCTCGACTTCTTCGCGGGATAAAGTTTCCTACACTTCCACCTCAAATTTCAATAGCAGATAGGAGCAATGCAAATATGAAAACATTCCTCAAGTATATTTTCAATTTGCAGTCAGCAACAAAAGCGCTAGAGATGATTATAAACCCTAAGACCATTCACGACTTTTACAATAACAAAAATTGAAACGAAAAACTTACCATTCGCACATACGGACTGTCACCGAGACACGACTCGCATATAATAGGGAAATCAGATCGTTCCCATCCATCAGCTTCAGCATCTCTCAGCAACCTATGCGCCATCGATTACTAATTCCTAAACTTCAATCTGCCAAACCAATAAACTTTGTAAAGCTCATTCCAAGCTATTTATTACATATTCTATAAGAATTTTAACCTAAAGAAATAGAAATCTGAAAAAAGGTGAGAAATCAATAGTACCTGATTAAGAGCAATTTAGGGTAGTGTAAGTTATTTGATAGCTAAAATCTCGCTTAGCAAACTCAATTTTAAATAGAGCTCAGAGGCAGCGGAGATGGCGGTTATCGGCGGCGGAGAGAAGAAACTTCCGACGAAGGAGAGCGAGGCAAATAGCCCAGCTCAGCCGGGACGAAGAGAGATAAGAAGACCTTTTTCAAGTTGATTTCCGCTATTTTGAATTTTATAACTATCAATTAATTAAAAAATGTTTTTAAATTTTATTATGATAAAAACAGTAATTTAAATAATTTTTTATATATAAATATACTCCCTCCGTCCCTATTTACTTGTCCATATTTCTTTTTTTAGTTGTCCCTATTTAGTTGTCCATTTTGACAAATCAAGAAAGGACAACAAATTTTTTCCTATTATACCCTTATTTACACTTCTTGAAAATTGTAAAAGTGTATGTTGTTTCCCTCCAATTTATTTCACTTTAATTCAAATAAGTTATTGTAATTTTGAAGTGAAAAGTTGTCATAAGGATAAAATTGTAACTTCACTGTGCTAATCATTGTTGCCTTAATCTGTGTGTTATTTCTAAAGTGGACAACTAAAAAGGGACGGAGGGAGTATATCACAACAATATAGACGATGTAATCCACAAGTGTATATTCAATCACATAAAAAAAGAACTAACCGAAATTAAAAATAATGGGCACAACTCACAAAATACTATATATAGTATGATTATGATAGTATATATATCATTCCATCCGTTACATGACATTCCTTTCTATAAATAGTTGGATCACAATACTTGTCATTTTATAAAATTTATGCATAAATTACCATATTTTGCCTATTATACCCTTGATAGAATAGTTAATTAATCTTGTTATTTATTAATAAAGTTGACTTAAGAAAACATTAAATAAGAATAGAAGGGTAAAATTATATCATTTTTTAATGCAAGTACAAAGTAAAACTGTGACATATAAACTGGGACGGAGGGAGTATATTATATTATATAGAAATGACTATAAGTGGCAACTTAGTTGTTAATTTGGGAGATCGAACAATTTGGAAAAGGAAATCCAACAAGAGGGCGACACATTGTTTCATCAAAGGGCTGAGTTAGGGAGGCAGAAACACATTATATGTATATACTTACTCTCAACTTAGCTATCTCGGCCTCCTCCTCAAGAATCATCTCCCTGACTACAATGGTTAGTTTGCATTTTGTCCTCGTTATAGTACATTTAATCTAAACACTACCTTGTGTTATAATTGAGAAATTTTATTGCTCGGATTGTCTAGTCAACACTTAAGCATGAAAGGACACCCATTTTTTGAAGAGAGAATTTGTCTCTTAAAGACATTTTGCTTCTTGAAGCCAAATAAGGACATAAACCACTTACCAAAGAAAAAAATGGCCTAAATCTATAAAAGCAGAATCGCTCAGCTGGAAGTTGAACTGGAATTACAGAATTTCAGCAGATGTTAGGTTCAAAGAATTATCAATAACAATGTCTAAAATCCTTCCCCATCAACAATGAATTATCCCAAACTAGACTTAGCCATCTCATACGCCAAGAAACATGCAGCATTTGCAGGGACACTACGTCCCATAGCAGGTCCAAAGCCCTTGTAAAGGCCTTTGATTCCCTCCGATGCCAAGATTTTTTTGAAAGCATCAAAAAAGCCAGAGAATTTTGGGTTTTTATAGTCATCGATCTGGATTACACTCTTGATGACATCTGTTGGATACACGGAGATCCAGAAGGAACCACCAGCCAGGCCACCTGCTACAATAAGAGAACCTCTTCCCAACCCTGAAGTGTCTGTGCCTCCTGCAAAGTACTGCTTTAGTGCTTCATACATGCCAAACATAGCAGCATTTCCGGGTATTTCACGTGCCATGGTGGGAAACAAGCCCTTGAAGAGACCCCTCACGCCTCCTTCGGATTGAAGAACATGTCTTGCTACATCCATTGGCCCTGCATATTTCACTGCCACAGCAGCTGAGCCTATACTTGCCAATGCACCCTGAGCTTGCAATCTGCACTCATGTAATTCAACGAGTAAATTGTCAAGTACAGAAGTTGATTCCTAGTAGTTTTGATCATTTGACCAAACAATGGTAACAACAAGTTGAAAAGTACATGATGCTTTCTTTTTCTTTCCATCTATAATGCACATGTCACTACTAAGGATACAACATGGCAAACATAAGCAAGGGAAACTTTGTGAAGGCTAGATTATATACTACATTTAAGTTATAATGCACTAGAAACAAACCTGCATTTTATAAGCTCAGTTGGGCAAGCAAGAAAAGACACAGCAGTTCCAGCAACAGCCCCGCAAACGATTTGCTGGTTCACAGTAAGAGGGACTCCAGGTTCAGACCTCAAGAATGCCTCTGTTTGACCTCTCACGGTGAAGAGCACAGCATTAAAGGCTGCCACAGTGGCAAGTGGGGCTCCCATGCCTTTGAACAGCCCCCCGGCACCTTCCGCAGCTACTGTTTGCCGGACAGCATCTATAGCACCAGAATATCTTGGAAGCTGCCCAGGAAGTGGAGTAGGCTGGCTTTGAAGCTTGACCTTTATGGTATCAAAAGGGTGACCAACGACCAATTGTGCTACACCACCTACAGTCCCAGCTGTTAAATCCTTGGCTATATCACCCATTGGAAAATCTGAAAAAAAAAAAACGAAGGGGAAAAAGAATTCTCAGTCTAAATGTAAGTTATTAGCTATTGCATTGACTGTTTACAATTCTCAATTGTAGAAAAAGAATGATTTGGTGGGAAGGAGCAGATCGCAAGAGTATATTATCAAAGTTAAACTTAACGCTTCTGCTAAATGCTGGTGCAGTGGAAAAAAGAACATTAATCTCTACAGTCAATAGCCATGAACCTATATAGTAAACAACACTAGGCGTCCTTGATGTAATAAAAAGTCTAGCTTGGGTGTTTGTGGAGTGACCACAAATTTAGGAGTAAATAGCACCAAAAATAATCTAGGTAAAATTCTTCTAAACGAAATCATTCACAATTTTACACCTCCCGGCCTGAGGCACTCTGATAATCAGAAACTGATATGTCAGATGACAAAAAAAGAACAGATCAAAAGTTTGTATGCTAACTTGAATTCTCTAGATAATTTTGGCATTGGTGTCCTATGAAAGTCAGCTAGTTTAGAACCAAAGTGATCAAACTGCTTCTGCCTACAAATTATCTACACACACAACGCTTGACAAAACGAAAGAGTGAGACAGCAAGTTAGAACTCCAGCACTATCCCATTATCATTTGCTCATTCATAGTAAGGAAGGAGTGAAGGACTAGAGGCACAAATTTCTCCCTGCATAACCGCCTAACCAAAAACAAAGAAGCAAAAAAATAGACATGTACAAGAATCTCTTCCTTTGATTCTCGACTTTTCTTCTCCTCGATAAACATATTAAAATGTAAGGACCAAAAACATGTACTAGAAGAGGAGAAAATTGGAAATCCAGTGGTGATAATAATACTCTTTATCAGATAGCAGCAGAAATTCTGAAAGCTAACTGATATTGAAGACCTTGAGAGAATTAAACTAATCTGATTCTATTTATTTAAAGTTCAAGCTCAAAGCAGACTCCGAGGTACAAATTAGTTTTAAGGAAGGAAAAAACCATGAAGAAGATATTCAAGAGACTTGTTATGGTTTTGAGCTTGATGAATCTTGAATTTATCTAAATTGTTCTCCTCATGTTCGCTCACCAGCTTTGAAAGAATCCAAGCAGGGAGCTTTTGGAGAGCATCCCAGCCCTTACAACTTATAATAGTCCCACAAGACAAATGACACCCCATTAACTGAAGGTTGTCCCTTTTTACTGATTTACCCACAAGAGAGCTAATTCCAGAATCAAGTTCAAATATAGAAGAACCAGAAAACATGTCGTAACTTAACTATCATGTTATTCACAAATGCCTCAGATTTCAAAGCTGCTGAAAAGTAGTCATCGGGAAGGCAATTCCCTCTAGTGAACTGTATGTAGTCCACCCTCGATAGAGATTCAAAACATAAAGCAATTACCTTCAAAACTAAATAGCTATATCAAGAAAACTAAAGTGAAATTACAGAATCTTGATGCAAAAATTCACAATACATAAGAGTGGAAAGACAATCCTTTTTGCTAACCATAAACAAAAACCAATACCGTGCATTCCATCAAACACCTCAAAGTTCAAATGCAGTCCTAAGCCACAAGCAACCAATTCGCACAACCATAGCATATTAAAGGAATTTCATACAAACAATGGGGTAGGGGTTTAGAGAAAGACTAAAACAACAACTCTGATCAAAGAATAAGCCTTAACCTGGCTGATTTCTCTTTATACAAGATAATTATCCAACCAAACGGATCCCTGACATATCAAGATCTAGATGCAATCTGAAATCAACAGTTGAGCAATGTAACAGTCAATCACTCAAACAAAGCAAATGTGCACATCAAGATATGACATACAGAAACAAATCCCAGAAAGGAAAATGGAAACATAGACATAAAGGAGTCTATATTCTGATATAAATACGAATACGAAAAATACCAAATGGGCATCACTCAATGTCCATTTTCAGCACATCAACTTCTACATTTCTAAAGGTAGATAATTTCTCCACACGTAAACAAATTATACTGTTTGTGCTAATAAAAGATCCTTATGGTAAAGAATAAGCCTTACCCTGGCTAGTTCCTCTTCCACCAAGTCAACTAAATGAATTCCACAATCTGAAATCTACATAAGAACAATGTATCAGTCCATTACACAGACAGAACATACATATACATCAATATATGACATGAAGGAATAAATCCCAAAAGGGGTTTGATAAGAAAGAATAACCAAAAGGGGTTTGATATAAAAGAAAAAAGATACCCAAATGGTATCACTCAATGCCCATTATCATCAGCACATCAAAGGTGGAGTCTTTTTCCATATTTTAACAAAGTTATAAGCTTTATGCTAGTAAAAGAGAATCTTGTGGTATCTGGGTGGACTAATGTGTACCTGATAAATCTGATGAGTTAAAAAATCTTGAATTTCAATCACAGCCACATGAATGAAATTTCAAGAAACGACAATAATGGGATGTGGGTGATTTAGAAATTTGGTGGCCAAGAGCTCTAAAGACACAATTTTTAATTGGATAGGGGAGATGAGGACACAAATTTTGAGCAAATTTTAGCCTCTTTTCTCCTCCCAACACAAGATCTTGAGAGAGATGGAAGAGAGTTCCTGTAGTATTGGGTCACTCTTTTCTATATAAAGGGAATATACAACTGCAGGGCTACTACCAACCCCATTTACCTATAATAGCGCATCCCCTGATTTTGACAGATTTACAACCACTCTTTCCGTTTCAATTTACGTAACACCCTTTTTTAATAAAATTGCTTATAATTTTATAGGAGTATAATACATAAACATGTCATTTTATTTGTTATTTATGTCTTTCAACTTTGATTACGTATAAATAAATATTTAAACTTGTATAGATATGAGCAAGAGCACACACATTCTACGTGATGTTCTACCTGATAATTTGCATCCTATACAACTTCTACATGGTGTCCTATTATGTCATGTAAAATGTTTATATTTATTTATTTAATTTTATATAAATTTAAATATCTAGTTATATAAGACAAAATAATATTTTATGCAGCTAAATGTGTTTGGTAGAATGATTTTAAAAGTATTTTTTTTCAAAAGCCTTGATCATTTTTGTGCTTTACACGAATGCATCATCTCACCAAACTTGTCACCTACTTCTACTAATAGAAAACTAAACATATAAATGGAAGTATATTGAATGGTACCTAATGGAAAAGATTATTAGAAATTAGAAAATTAATGTGTATCTTTAAAAAAAATATCAAATCAAATCAAATATTAGGATGTCTAATTGTAGCATGGATGGTCAAAAGTGTCCTTTATTCTTATGATGACAATATGACAAGGTAGAGTAGAGCGAACTTAATTTTATATTGTAGGACAATGCATATTTGACCTTACTCACTATATGTTAGAGTTTTACTGGTAAAAATCAAATTTGCTTTACATCTGTCATGTCGTTGTCTATTGTTATCCCTATTCACTCTAGGAAGTAGTTTAAAATTAGAGTTCATAAGCATGTCAATGAGTCAACATTTACTATACTATAAAATTATAATAATGTAATTCAATTCAATTATCTCAACCTAATAGTGTTTGATTTGAAAGTGAATAAAAATATATCGTTATGAGTATGTCAATATCTCCATGATCATTGCTAGATAGTAATCTATATTTTACGTAGTGTAAAAGCACGATTGAAGCTCTCATAGAAAAATATTGTTCGTCTTTTTAATTGTTTAAATATTAATTTCACATTATTCCTCTAATTTTACAAGTTCCCTCCTTAGTTTGAAATTACAACAACAATAACATATTTAATATAATTTTATAAATGAGGTTTGAGTAGATAAAGTGAGTTCAAACCTTATTTTTATCTCATAGTGACATAATAAGTAGTTATTTTAATCACAATAAACATTTTACCTTATATGTAATGAATTTTAGAAATGAGGGGTTCTACCATATTCTAGTAAAGGATCATTCAAAGTATTCCTTAAAATGAACTGGTTGTATGTATAAAAGAAATATCTTATCTTAGTAATTTAAATAATATTACATATAAAATATACATATTAATGATTACAAAATAATTTTTGCTTCAAAAATGCCCTTATTCACGAGTTAATTGGGAAATATTCATCACTTCGTGTTTGCAAAAATTGAAGCAAATATTATTAATATGAAATTTAATCTCTAAAATAAACCTAAAAATGTAGACCAGAAAAAGACGATATAATGATGATTGCCTTTATATTACTACTATTATCAAGTTTTTAATATGATTATGTTGTTACTTTACGAATAAAACTAGACTTTAAAATTCAGGATAATAACTTCGTTAACAAATAAAAATGAATATAAAGATGATAACTTTGTCAACCCGAAACTACATGAAGATCAAGCATAATAATATTACATTAACTAATCAAATTCTATAAATCTAAATAATTTAAACTTCAATTTTGTTTTCTTTAGATGGATTTTTTTATCTTTGATATATTAATTTGTACTCATTATTATTTATTAGTACTATTTTTATTTATAATATTTTTCTTATTTTTAAAACTACTAATGTGTGATAAATAATACTCTTTTCCGGATACACTTTTTTTTAGTTTCCATAAAAAATAAAATATTTAATAACATTATTATAATGTTGTCCATATTATATCTTTACTTATTTGGAATTATAAAGCTATATTCCTCTATTTTAAAAAAAATTATTTACTTTAAGAATAATTTAAAACATTACAAGATCACATGCTCGTTTGGTGTGAGGGATTAGAAATAATAGTGAAGGGATAAGAAAATAGTGATGGGATAAAAAAAAATTATGTTGTTTGGTTGTCATGTTTGGGATAACTCGTCCCACCATTTATATCATAGTTGTGATAAGTTATCCCATATACATGGTGAGATAAGTTATCCCAGGATAGCTAACCCCAGAATAACTTATCCTGGGATAACTTGCTTGCAACCAAACGACAAGTATATTAATAATGCAATTCAATTCATCTCAACCTAATAGTGTTTGATTCGAATGTGAATAAAAATATATGGTTATGAGTATGTCAATATCTCCATGATCATTGCTAGATAGTAATCTATATTTTACATATAGTAAACGCACGATCGAAGCTTTTGTAGCAAAATATGGTTCGTCTTTTTTATTGCTTAAATATTAATTTCAGTACTCTATTCCTCTAATCTTATGAGCCCAACAATAACATATTCAATATAATTTTGTAAATGAGGTTTGAATAGATAAAGTGAATTCAAACCTTATTTTTATCTCATAGTAACATAATAGTTATTTTAATTACAATAAACATTTTACCTTATATGTAATGAATTTTAGAATTGAGGGGTTCTGCCATATTGTAGTAAAGGGTCATTCCAAGTATTTTTAAAATGAAGGGAAAAAGGTTTGAAATATATCTAAATTTTGATCGAAATTGATTTAATAATCTCAAATTTTGGGCAAGACCTATTACCCCTCATGCACTATTTAATAGTATATTTTAAAGATATATAGGTGTCTACTAACGTGGACATCATAAATATGACATCATCATAAATAATAACTTGTCGTGGACACTTATATATCTTTAAAATACACTATTAAATAGTGCAGGGGGTAATAGGTCCTACCCAAAATTTGAGATTGTTACAACAATTTTGGTCAAAGTTCAGATATATTTCAAAAAAATTTCCCTAGAATGAACTGGTTGTATGTATAACAAAAACATCTTATCGTAATTTAAATAATATTACGTATAAAATACACATTGATATTTGCAAAATAATTTTTACTCCAAAATGCCCTTATTCACGAGCTAATTTGGAAATATTCATCACTTGCAAAAATTGAAGCAAATATTATTAATATGAAATTTAACCTTGAAAATAAACCTAAAGAAGTAGAGCAGAAAAATATGATATGATGTTGATTGCCTTTATATTAATATTATTCTCAAGTTTTTAATATGATTATGTTGTTACTTTACGAATAAAACTAAACTTTATGAATCAAGATAATATCCTTGTTAACAAATAAAAATTGATATAAAGATGATAACTTCACCAACCCGAAACTACATGAAGATTAAGCATAATAATATTACATTAACTAATCAAATTCTATAAATCTAACTAATTTAAACTTCAATTTTGTTTTCTTTAGATGTTTTTTAAGATTTTTGATTTATTAATTTGTACTCATTTTTATTTATTAGTACTATTTTTATTTATAATATTTATAGGAGTACTTATTTTTAAAAGGGAAAAATGACAAATATACCCTCGAACTATCGTAAATGTATGCAGATATCCTCCGTCATACTTTTGGGACATTGGTGTCTCTGTCATCCAAAAACTAGAGCATATATGCCCTTCACTCTAACGGAAGACTAAGTAGGGACACGTGACACAATCTTATCCATCGATCCGATTTTTAATAAATGTCGAATCGGTGGATAAGATTATGACACGTGTATGTCCGTTAGTATAAAAGATATATATGCTCTAGTTTTTTTGATAGCAGAGGCACCAATATACAAAAGTATGACAGATGGTATCTACATACTATTTACGATAGTTCGAGAATATATTTATCATTTTTCCCTTTTTAAAACTACTAACGTGTGAAAAATAATACTCTTTTCAGATTCACTTTTTTAGTTAGTTCCATAAAGAATAAAATATTTAATAAGATTATTAAAATTTTATCCATATTATATCTCTACTTATTTGGAAAAAAAATTATAAAGCTATATTCTTCTATTTTAAAAAAATATTTATTTTAAGAATAATTTTAAAACTTACAAAAAATTAGTATATATCAATACAATATTATATTGAAATTAACTTTTAACACACCACCTTTGAACCCATGAAGAAAAGATAGTTGTTGCATATGATAACCATATTATAAAATACAAATCGATAATCCTTATGGATTAGCCCAATTTAATTATGAGAAATTACATGAATTCGGAATTATCAAAGCTAAAAAAAAACACCATTAACGTCTTCTACAAAGCTTCAGTTTCAACTCTGCATGAACCATCTCACTCTGTATGTATATATAGATTTCTATACAAAAAAAAACGTAAACAATCAAATAGTTTCTTATAGAAATTCTTCATTTTCTTTGAATTTCACAAATGGCGGGTCTTTTCTCTACTCTAAGAAGACCCACCAACATTTCTTCTTCGAATTTTCAATCATCCTCTGTTTTTGCTTCTCGTTTTCTCTATTTACTCACCGTTATTTCTGTATCGCTTGCTGTTTTCGCTTTCGTTCTTCAATGGCGTGGCGGGTTACCCGACCCGACTACCCGATGGATACCCGGTGACGATCCGAATGAGGCTGGGTCGAAACCCGTACGGTTATCGTCTTCTTCGTCTGGTTGTGCAGATATCCTTGGACAGAGCCGTACGGCGTCGTTTCCGTATTTCAGGGATTGGAAGTTTAATTTCGGGTCGAATCTTAGACCGAAGGTTCGTTTTTATCAAGGTTTATTTAGTTTCTTTCGGAATCTTTTATACAAATAGTTGTACAGATTTACTGTTTATTTTTTTGCGAGTTATTTTTTGTGTTTGCTATGATAACTTCATGTTGAAGTACTTAGTTATTAACTTTAATTAGTTTGAAGAAAAATGGACATGTTTATGTTTTTTATTAGCCAAGTGTCTTTTTTGGTATTGTGGATGAATTGTGAAAAAGTTCATTTGATGATGATGGGTCCACCTGTTTGATAAAATCAAAGTTATTTGTTGTTGGCATTTTCTGATTGTATAGAATCTGGCTGCTGTGTAAACACCAGATTTCACTTGTGAGATTAGGTTGTGTTAGAATCGGGTCGTAAGGCTGCGTGTACACCAAACTCTACTCGTGAGATTACGCGTGAATGCTTGATAGAAAAAAGACATTCTTGAAATGGTAGCCAGGGCAAAGCTAGCAGTTGCAGAATTTTGTAGATTTGTATTCTAGGCAGTTGATAAATTAAAGCATTTTGAAAGGATATGCTAATTCCTTTTACTGTTGATAAAAGTAAAGCATTTTGAAAGGATATGCTATTTGTACCATTCATACTTCAACATTCTAAGTAGGTCGTTTGGTTGTTGATTAGAGTAATGTAGATATTAGTAACGTAGGTATGAGTTATGTAGAGATAGTTATGCGAGGTTTAGATATTCCATCTTCTATACTGCATAAAGTAGTGAATAGATTTCCTTTTAACTTATACGCGTGATTCTAACTTGCTAACCAAAAATCGTATTTAGAGTGTTGAATTTTATACATTAGCAAAAAATTACTGCCAAATATGGTACAAGTTATGCGGTGGTTTAATACATGAAGGAATCACCTCCTAACCAGCAACCAAACGACCACCAAGTACATATTTTAGTGTTGGTTTTGGCTCTGTTTATGCTTTTAATGAGTGCAGTTGTGCTGGAGAATTTTCACCTCATTTTTTCCTATGTTTTTCTCCAAATGAAGAGTTGCAATCGTATAGTTACTGTAAACGTCTCAGATATTTAAGTTGAGCTTTTCTATTTTTTTTGCGCCACCCTCTTTCTTTTCTTGGCCTTAAATTGTTTTATATCAGTATCCTAAGAGACTTGTTACCTTTGCTTGATGTTTAGATATCAATCACTACAAGTACGTCCGCTGGCTTAGAGCAGATCCTGCCCTGGATGTTTTATCACAAGGTTATTGGCGTAACAAACTTTTTCCTGTTTGTGGAGGGAAAAGCTGCATCTCCCAATGTATCTAAAGTGCTAAAATCTATTCCAGTAAGTGTTCATATCTCCTTAATATTTCCATTATCATTGTTTTGTCTTGAACGTTCTGTTTCATCACTTCTACCGTTTTGTGTATTTGGATTGATGTACTTCATCTCTCGATTAATATACAAAATGTGTGTACTCTGCAGGGAGTAAGAGTTATATATAGAACAAAAGAGCTAGAGGATGTACAAGCCAAAAGGTAACTGATCTTTGCATATATATGCAATTTCTGTGCCTAAACTTTGAAGATGAGGTCTTCGTTCAGTAGAGTAGACGTTATTTCCTATTGCTCTGAGAAATGTTTTTTATCCCTTCTGTGGGTTTTATGTTCTTTATTTAGCCTCGTATCATTCAATTTCTTTATGTTGCTAATGGATGCAAGTAATAGTTGAGGATAGAAGCTATTTATCCAAAGCAAAGCTTATAGAAGAACATATGTTAGCATGGGTTAACAAGTTTCCAGAACTTGTTGGGAGTTCCTTACATAGCAACACATTATATATCAGGAGTAACTACAATGCATGGGTGGAGGGGGTTGATGTGGACTGACTAATTTACCTATTAATAGCAAGCAGTAATTACCCAGGGTAGCAGTGACAACAGATTCTCTATTCTATTTGTGTCTTGAGACTAATAATAGACTTGGTTCCTAGAAGGGAAAGAGGGAAGGTTAAATGAGAGAAGGTCATTGATTATTTCCCCTACGTGGAGCACCGAGCATTTAATTCCTTTATTTGGTATACTGGAAGGTAAGTAAATAAGACATAGTCTTCTCTCATCCCCCTTACTAAACAAGAGAAATAACTCTTTCACCTCTCGTCTTCCAACCCTTTCTCCTTTCAACCCAAGCGACATTGTACTGACGTATATTTCAAGTCATTCATCTTGAGTAAGCTTGGATCTGTTGTGAGTGTTATATGACTAATGTACTGAAGAATTGGTGTCTGAGCATAAAAGTGGAACCTATTATAGTTTTTGTCTTCATTCTATTTATAAGTGAGATCAATTTATTCGTCAGAGATTTCTAAAGAAGAGGCTTTCTTTTCTACAATCTTGACTTCTCAAATTCAAAATTCCTGGAAAAGTTAGAGGCATTTAATATCAGATTGTAATAGACTTTAATGAAGAAGTGATTGTTCAAGTTACTAACTTAAATCAACTAAATTAGAGAGTTGAAATTTCCGTATGGGCTAGTAGACATGCTCTGTTCCCTATATTTCATCTCATGTCTCTATTAGGTAAGGTTATTATTTGATATACTGATGATCTATAATGTCTTGTGTCCTAGTCGGATTTGGAATGAAACTTGGCTGGCTGGATTCTTTTACCAACCATGCAACCACGAGTTATTTGTCAAGCAGACTCTTAACATGGAAATGGCCATCGTCATGGCAAGGGTATGATTGCGATAACTTCATCTAATTCCAGTTATGGTTACCTTTTGATCCACTTCATTGCCTTGTAACTCTACAGGAAGCTGGCGTGGACTGGATCATTCATCTTGATACCGATGAGCTAATGCATCCAGCTGGAACTAGTGAGTATTCTTTACGGAGACTTCTGGCAGATATACCTGAAGATGTCGACATGGTCATATTTCCTAACTATGTAAGTAATTGAGCTTGTTCTAGGCTGTCTTATAACTGTGTCTAAGCATGTAATTACATGCACGAATAGTCAAAACGCATGCATTTGCTTCGTTTTCATTTTCTGCTGTCTTTTTTCTTGTTAATATCTTCTCTGATGATGGCAAATATTTCAGGAGAGCAGTGTTGAGAGAGATGATGTGAAGGAACCTTTTAGTGAAGTAAGATATCTTTCACTGTATCCTTTTTTCTTATCTTTCAAGTTCTAGTGTTAAATTCAATCGTTTGGCTAGGAACATCCTCCACCGCTATACGTGAATAGGTTTAGACTTGCTTAAAATAAATTTGGATAATTCTATTACCCAATACTTGAGAATGGAGCAACAGCTAGTAGTCAAAGAGGTATCTCTTACCAGATGAATGAAAAAGAAGGTTGCGTTGGAGTTAGACACTGTGGAGGCAAGAAAGTAAAATTGTACCTTGCGAATATATGGAGCTTGAGTGTTAGACCTTACTCTTTGTTTGTAGCAGCCAGAATTTCTTAGAGAAAGTTTGCGTATTCTGTAATTTGTTTTAATTATGCAAGTTCTTTTAGACTGTTTACCAGTAATACATCTGTATCATGTGGTAGGTCTCGATGTTCAAGAAGAATTATGACCATCTCACAAAAGAAATGTACTTTGGAAACTACAAGGAAGCAACTCGTGGTAATCCTAACTACTTTTTGACTTATGGAAATGGCAAATCAGCTGCTCGAGTTCAAGATCATCTTCGTCCTAATGGTGCTCATAGATGGCACAATTACATGAAAAGTCCAAAGTATGCTTGTTCTGCATGTAACTTGTTTTCCTTTTATCTCTATTTCGTTTCTTATTTATTCCCAGTCCTCTAGAATCACTGTTTTATCGAAGTTGAAAACACACTCATAATGTTTGTCATGTATTTTCTTATTATTGTAGAGAGATCAAACTGGAAGAGGCTGCTGTTCTGCACTACACATATCCCAAGTTTTCAGATTTAACTTCACGACGAGATCGTTGTGGATGTAAACCTACAAAAGAAGATGTGAAAAGATGCTTCATGCTAGAATTCGACAGAGCTGTGAGTAATAGGCAGGCTGTTATTAACAAATGTTTTTAGGGTCAAAAGATGAACTGTATAGTTTCTTTGTTGAATAATTTTCATCTTTACATTGCAGGCTTTTATAATAGCTTCAACTCTGACAGAGGAGGAGATGCTTCACTGGTAATAATTCTTTTAACTTCCATTCCTTTGAATTCATGCTAATCCGTATACTACTTATTTCGCGAAATCCTTCCCTTGTTATACGGTAAAATCTAATTTCATACTGATCAGTAGTCCGCGTGGTGCTTGATTTCTTCTTGGTTTGTATCTTGGAAATGCTGACAGAACCATTACTGGATCAGGTACCGTGAACATGTTGTTTGGACGGATAAAACACTCATCCAGAAGCTTATCAAGAAGGGCATATTGACGCGCATATATACTCCCATGGTAAGATCAACTTATAATACTTGATTGCGAAAGCTCCTTTGAGTTTATATTGAGGGCCATTCATCCTAAGAAGCTGAACTTATAATACCTTTTTTTTTTTTTTCTGTCTGTGTAGGCCATTGTGCAGGGTTTGAAGGAATCTGGCATTTTCGTTTCTGTTATTGCTTCAGCACATAGAGATATCATAAAAGATGAGTCTTTTTCTTCTGCTGGAAACAGAAATGCTCCCGGATATCCTCATATTACTGATACTTTTCCGAGAAAGATGGGTCGTATATTGGAACCTCAATCAACTGCAAGGAAATTCGTGGAGTTCAGTAAAACTGATCGTCAGGCAATTCCACCCGAATCACCTCCTGGCATGGATGGAATTGATCTCACAGTTACAAAATACCTTCTGAAGAATAGTTCTTCTTGAAGAAGTATACTTACATACCCCTCTTGGGATATTTGGTGTACATTAGTTGTGTCATACTGGAATGGTTTCCATAGAGTTGTTTGAGTATCATATCATAGAGAAGTATTCTTCATCTTTTAAAACCCCAGTGAGAGCTCGAAATTTTTTAAAAGTTCGATATGTATACATGACAGAATGCTTTGGAGAATGACAATTTTATTCATGATCTGATGGTCTGAGATTGAACAGAGACTTGACATTAATTTCAAACAAGAAATTTAAGTTTCTTTTCAAACTTTAACCTGAACAGTACTAGCAATCAGATAAGTAGAGATTAAGAAATAAAAGTATATTTATTGATTTGATTATATGAAACAATTTCACTTGCATATATATTTGTGTAATCAAAACTACCTATATATTTTTTACTAGAATTAGACTAAGAAACCAACTCAGATAGCCATTCCTGGTTTTCTCCCATAAAGTCATCAAAATCACCTAACTCATCTATTAATAAGCACTCATCGTTGTTTAAAACACCAGTGAATGTTGGGTCAACTTGGTAATCTGATGATGCACTACCTGTTGTCTCTTCAACATTCTGCACTTGCTCTTCCTGATACGTTGATAACTGGAGTTGATCACCATATCCTGATTCATTAGGCCACTGGGGTTGTGTTGTCATATCGTTCATCTTCTCATCATCACATCCAACATATCCTGATTCAATATTTTGCAATGACTTCACCATCTGTTGAGGAAGTTGATCACCATATCCAGATTCATTATGCCCCTGGGGTTGTATATCATCATCATCATCGTCGTTTTCATGGGCAGTTGTTGTAGGCATATGATTTACTGATTCATCAGTGCAGATAGGCCCATGGGGTTGTGTATCATCATCGTTTTCACTGACAGTTGTTGTAGGCATATGATTTCCTGATTCTTTAACTTTACACCTAATGTAGCACAAAACAACATCCTCGTGCTTCATTATATCTCTATTTCTTAACAACTTTATTACCTTGTCGTCAAGACTATACTCTTTGCACCTACCGGTTTTCCTTTGCCCTTCCCTTTCCAACTTCCTCCTCCAATCAAAGTCCGAATAAACCTTGTATGGTGTGGTTCTAACTTCTTTAATTTAGTAAAGAAATATTTAGTATCTGATGAGCCTTCTAATAACTCCCATGGCTTCTTACTCCCAGATCTTCAAATTCAATATCGTTGCAAACGTAATTTTTAGAAGCAACAAATTTGATTAAATAGCGAATAAGTTGTTCATCAGTGGGTCGAAACCTGACTCCTAATTCTGAATATAGAGAATCAATCGTCATAATTGTTGAAAAGAGTAGAAAAAAAACTTTGTTATTTTTAGGCAAATGGCCCAAAATAGTGTTGATCAACGATATATGATTAGCTTACGTGATGTATTATTAGCTGACTCTATAGAAATTTGATACAAGAACTGTATAGAAAAATTGTGCTAAGGCTGTAAATTGAAACTTTTTTTAAGAAATTCGAAGAACTGTATTGATGCACAAGGCCTTATATATAAGTTTGTTTATATTATGGCGGTAAAGTAATTAAAAAATGGAAACCAAATTTAAGAAGAATTGGGAAACGTAAATGCAAAAACTTTCCTTATTTTCAAGATTAGTTACTTAAAATCACCCTAATACAAACGTAATGCAAAAACTTTCCATATATAATAAATTTAAAGTCTCCTTTTTCTGTTTCATTATATAAAAACCGTAATGCAAATACAAAGTCCCCTTTTTCTATTTTATTTTATTTTATTTCTAAGTTTGTTTGTATAAAGCCGGTAATGGGAACCAAATTTAAGAAGGATTGTGAAATCTAAATGCAAAAAAAAAAATGTCGTTATATTTCAAAATTAGTTACATAAAATCACCCTAATACAAAAGTAATGCAAAAACTTTCCTTATATAATAAATTTAAATAAAATTTGATGTATGAATAAACTAGAGAGGCAAGGCCCGTGCCCAATATGAGAAAATAATATCAATTTTATCGCAGAGAAAATGATGATGGAAAAAAATTGCTTGCACAGATTGTTGACTAAAGCATTGTTGCCCTGTAGCAACGATAACATGACAAGTTATGATATTCATTAAACATACACTATTGATGTTGTGGGCAAATGAAAAATATTTAGGTTGACGTGAGTCGGGTGGACCTACCTTGTTGCAAGTGGGTTCATATCATCGAAAAAATACATTGTATACAAAACACTGTATATAATTAATTTGACCCCACTTAAACCAATAGTAACACGTAGCCCAGCGGCAAAGTGGTTACAATTTGACTGATGTGTACGATTCCCACCCACAACATTTAATACTACTTCATTTTTTTTATATGTTGAACCCACTTGGTAAAATTTCTGGGTCCGCCACTGGTTAAACGTCATATTCTCTTTGTCATTTTCTATAGTGATAACAGAGAAAGCCATCCCATGTTTCATATTTTTCAACTGCTAATGCTAGTGGGAAAGTCGAATCCAAATATATAGTTGTAAGAGTGTATCTACTAAGATTTCACATCTATCCATTCCCTCTTGGAAAAACTAAAATTAGTAGTTTGGACGACTATAATTGATTCACAATAATATTCCAGCAAGTTCATATACATTATCTATTTCATTGACGGGGAATAACCAAAAACTCATTGTGCAAGAAATGAGAAACAAAGAGTCAATTGTCAAAATTACACATTAAGTGCTCAATATTTGAATTTCATCAAATTATGATCTAAGTATTTGTCAAAATACACGTCAACAATCAATAGTACATATGGTGATATTTCAAGTAAGAAACTCATTTCTCTTACAGTTTAGTTAAGTTTTCAGCTTTCACTCCAGAAACAAATCATTTTTGAAGAATTTCATCAAATTTGTGATGAAACTAATGATTCCCAAAGTCTGAAAATACTACAAAAGTTCAATAAATATTGACATAAGTTTACTGTGGACGACATAATAGCTTTAGCGGAAAGAACCTAAAAAAAAAAAAAAAACTTGCGAACAAATGCAAAAAATAGCAGTAGCACCTTAGACGCGTTTCTTGGGGACAATGGATGGACCAGACTCATCGTACTCGTCCTTCAAAATCCATATCTGATTAAGTACAGTACATGTTTAAGTTAGCAACAACATAGTTCAAAATGTAGTTTAAAATGCAAAAGAATATCCAAGAGAAGATTTTAAAAAAATAAAAGCTTGCTTATTGGAAGGTGCTAAGTGAAGTGAGGGTGGACACTGTACTCTCTCTGGTGGAGGAACAACCTTAATCTTCATGTTTTGCAATTCCATTTGGGAAATTGAGCATTATTTTATGGCATAATACATAAACATATTTTTTTAATTTGATTTTAACTTATATTTATATTTTTTTAATTTTGAGTGTGCACAAATAAGTATTTAAACTTTTATAAAACTGAACAAATCAACACATTTATCCTATGTGTAAAAAATAATGTTATGGGGTGATACCATCAAAACTGTGTCAATAATATAATTATCGTTGCATTATATAATAATAAATAAAAATATTTAGCGACATGTCACATGTTGATACTTTGCATAAATTTCCTTTGTGTAGAGCAACAATTACATAAACATGGTTTGTTTTCAGATTGGATATCTCATTATTAAATGGAATTTTGTTTCATTATTTGAGTTGACTAAGTTAATATAGAATTGAGATCAAGAGTTGGTTAATTAAATAATCTTTTATAAAATTAAGTTATTTAAATTAAAATGAAAAAAAATCAAGATATTTAAATTATTTCAAGTTAGATACACATAGATACATTTTTTTTTTTTGCTATTAGATACACTTGTATATGGATAGAGGAGAATGAGAACAAGAGGGAGGCTAGCAAGATTTGTTTATCGATAAGGTCATTGTTTGTTTGTATATTGGTGACATAACGATCATCAGTAGAGACACGAATGACATAAATGCTACTAAACATATGCTAAAAAGCAACTTTGATATGAAAGATCTTGGAGTTGCTGATGCAATATGAAAACATATGCTAGAAAGAAACTTTGATAGAACTCCATAATGTTTAGCATTGTCATAGTCTCATTACATTGAAAAGATACTTGACTAGTTCAAATATTTGGATTTTAATATTGTCAAGACTCCAATAAATGTGAGCTTTTCACTTCAAAAGAATGAAGACGAAAGTGACTCACAATTGGATTATGCTAGAGTATTATGAAGTATATATGATGTACATCAGAAAGTGTACGCGATCAAATATAACAAATATCCAGAAGTGACTCACAATTGGATTATGCTACTCAAAACTATGCCTTGCATTATAACAGATATCCAGAAATATTGAAAGGATATAGTGATTCAAATTGGATTACTGGGATCAAATAAAGTAAAATCCACGAGTGGTTATGTATTTACTCTCGATAGAGGAGCAATGTCTTGGAAATCTTCCAAACAAACATATATCACTAACTCTACAATGATCTCTGAGCTTGTCACTCTAGATAAGGCCGGTGAATAAATTGAAAAACTCCGTAATTTCTTGATAGATATTCTCTTTTGGCCCAAACCATTGGCATCAGTATGCATACACTTTGATAGTCAAGATGTAATAGGTAGGGCATGAAGCATGAAGTATAACGGAAAGTCTCGTTATATAAGACGTAGATATAATAGAGTTGTAAGACTACTATCTAGTGGAATTATCACAATTGACTATGTAAAGTCAAAAATGATAATGTGTCAAATCCACTTATAAAAAGGCCTAACTAGAGAGAAAGTTGAAAGATCATCTAAGGGAATGGATTTACGGCTTTAACAAGTCATCACGGCGGTAGCACTAACTAGCAGACTGGAGATCCCAAGAGCTAGGTTCAAGGAGAAAATAAAGTTGTTACTGACAGTTCGACATTGTCAACCAACTCAATTCATTCTCATGAGGAAGACAATGCTCAGGAACAAGGATACAACATTAAGGCTTGTTAATGAGTTAATAAAGCTTAAAGTTTTTAATA